CACACACACACACACACACACACACACACACACACACACACACACACTTTTCCAGCAGAATGCAAATGCCCCTTTTCTAACCTCAGGAATCTCTATGCTATCAGTCTTTGGGAAAAAGGCAGACTGACAGGTAACTAAGGCCAACTTACTCTAGTTTTAATTCATATTTCTCTTACTACATAGGAAGTTGAATATATGCTTTAATGGGCTTAAGGAAAACTATCATTTACTTTTCCCTGACTTGCCTCAAATGTCTTCATAGCCATACTCTTGTTCTGCATTTGGAGATGGATGTTATTGTTGGTGATACTGAACCATATGGCCCCTTGCACGGTTGGTGGATCATTTTGTTTTTCTTTAGCTACTACGTAAGCATTTTATTGCCATCTATTCCATGGAGCATCCACCTAGCTTTCCTCATTTAGGTTCCACTGGGATTGTGTGCTTTTCTCTGGTGGCACTTACAAAATAGTAGCGTGATTATGTGGCACACTGATCAGGGCTTTTCTCACTGAGCACAGGGACCCTGATTTGATCCCTTGACCTCAGAAACTAGTTCTGCTGATCTAAGAACCCCATTTAGATGGATAAGTGAATGGTCCCTCAAGCCTCCATTTACTCAGCATCATCTCCTGTCGGTTCCCGCAGAACTTTCTTCTAGTCACTTGCTTTTCAGCAGAGCTCATCACCTCCCCACCAAACTCTGCTTCTCTCCCCTCCCTGGGCACTGAAGAAGTGAGACTTCCTACCTCCCTAGTGCCATGTGTTCCAAAACCACATGACCTCACCTGTCCAACAAGAGATGAGGAGAAGTGAGGTATGATGCCCTGGGCCAAGGCAGAAAGATGCCCTATGGTGTCCTCTATGGTGTTGCCCTGTGGTCCCCACTCTTGTGACCTTCAGCCTCTACACAGGAACTCTGCCTCCCCTCCCCTACTGAGTTTAAGAGAAGAACACTTCTATGTGTCAGTCCACTGAGTCTGGAGAGTTGCTTCCACAATAGGTTAACCTGTCTGGAGGATGAAGCCAGCCCCTCCCAGCCATGATTCTCCTTCTCTGAGACTGTGCAGCATGTCTGAGCGAGCCACAACATTTGGGGGTTGTCATTTTTGCTTCAGTGCACAGTACACAGTACAGCTTTGGACAAGTACTTCCCCTTTCTGTACTTCATTTCCTCATTTAAAAGATGAAGAAATTAATATCTATATGTCTGGAGTTTAAATGAGATAACACACAGTACGAATATTCTGCCAGAAATATTTGAGATTTTGCATCTTTTTCTTTTAAATTTGAAACATCTGCACATATATGTAATGGGATGTTTTAGAACCCAAGTCTATATATGAAATTCATTTATGGTTCACACATACCTCATGTACACAATCTGAAGGTAACTGTATGTAATATTTTTAATGTGCTTGTGGTTTGGCTGTGGCCTGTGATTGTAGGGACCAGCTATAACTGTCCATTTGTGTCAGCTGATCTGTGCTTATGAAGTTGTGCATTTCAAACTTTAGCTTAAGGATGCTTTGCCTGATGTAAAGTTTCTGCCATTTATAAAACATTTACTCTATGAAAGCTAGGGTTATAATCCCCAGTGTTGTATAAAGTCCATCTTCGTTGAGTCTTTGCTGGTGTACCTTTGTTGTCTGTCCTTCCTTGCAACCTAATTCTTCCCTGCCCCCCAAAGCTGTGGGCAGGACCCCTCTGAGCTGAGACCTGTCTCTGTGAGCACAGCTCCTTTGCTGGAGATTCAGTGGCTGGTGTTTCATAGCCAGCCACTGGCTGTGTCTAGCCACAGATGCTTCAACTCAGGAGGCTCAGCTCTCAAGCCACCACACACCAGTAGGTCAGGATCAGATCTGAGGCGTTTTTATAAAGCCGCCCATTTTAGATCCTTTAGATCATCCTTCCAAACACACTACTTAGAACTCTTGCCTGCTCCCTTCACAGTGTCCCTGAGGCTACTGTGCAGTCTTGTAGGACTGCTGATGTGTGTAAGAGAACCTCAAGGGCCTGGTTACTAGTTTTCCTCAGGTTTTCCACAGGGTATAGGGCAGCAGGAGTATGAAGGAGATGGTAGGCTCTGAGAGCAGGCTGAGGTTTGAGCCTGGCCTGAAGGCTGAATATGAAGCTTGTCAGGTTCTTCTACAGAGTGGTTCTCAACCTTCCTCATGCTGCGACGCTTTAATACAGTTCCTCGTGTTGGAGTGACCCCCAGCCATTCAATTATTTTCATTGCTACTTCATAACCATAATTTTGCTACTGTTAGGATCCAAAATATAAATATCAGTGATTTCGGGGGTCTTAGGTGACCACTGTTCTAGAAGGATGACGTGATAGCATTCCTTGGCAGAGCACATGATTCCACTGAATCCTCCTAGCAAAAACACAGGTTGGCTGGTGTGTTGGATTTCCAGTTAACACGCTAACCTGGGCCCAAAATCTGCTTTCTCACCACAGGGCATGAAGAGGGGCACAAGTCCAGCTGTCAATATAATTCTTGCAGGATCAATAAAAGCCTCCATAGGTTCTCATATTTTTCTAGCTGGAGCCTTCCATGCTCTGGGGACATGTTTGTTACGTACCAGATATGTTTGTACTGGCATAACCATAGGGGCAAAGGGTGCCCACAGTTCCTTGGGGATCTGTGCTGTGGCCATAGTGAGTCTGGAAGCTGCCAGGCAGATGCCTTCCAGAATGGTCACTTCTCCCAGACACTCAGCTGGTTTCTTCAGCAGCTTTAGAGGCTGGACCACCAGCAAAATTCCTATCCACAGCCTAGACTCCCTATGCCACAGCAACAGGCTGGCCATGGCTTTCGGGGTGCCTTGCCATTTCCTGGCCACCTGCCACCTGCTAGCCTCTATGATCTGTACCAAATGGCTCAGAATATGAAGGCCTTTGCCACCAAACTTGAAAAATCTGAGTTCCATCCCTGAGACCCACAAGGGGAGAGCTGAATCCCACATGTTGTCCCCCGACCTCCACGTGAGCATCATGGCATGCACCCACCTCCAAATACATAAGTAAATGCAGTAACAAATTGACAGAAAGGCCTCCTGTGATTTGTTGAGAACCCATTAGGTGTGCTACAGGGACGTATAGCCATATGTTTAGCAAATTAATACATTGCTAAAAGCTACACAGTGTTAATTCCATTTTATACATGGTGGGGGGGCTTCAGGGGTTGAAGTATCTTGCCCAGGGCCACCAAAACAGTAAATAGTAAATAAATATTATTGTTGAGAATCCAGGTGTATCTGACGTTAAGGTTTTTTTTTGTTTGTTTGTTTGTTTTGTTTTGTTTTTTCTCACACCGCAATGATGATGATGGCAAGGATGGTACCATGAAAATCAGAACAAGATACTCTTTCAAAATGTGGCTATCCTACAGTATCTTGCATAGGTACAAGACAACAGCCATCACAACACTGGAGAGAAGTAGTTTTCAACCTGTGGGTCACGACCCCTTGGGGGTCAAAAGATCTTTTCTCAGGGGTTGCCTAAGACTATTAGAAAACAAAGATATTTACATTGTGACTCATAACAGTAGCCAAATTGCAGTTTTGAAGGAGTAACAAAAATAATTTTACGGTTGGGCGTCACTACAACCTGAGGAATTTTATTGAAGGGCTGTGGTATCATATTTATGGTACAACTCATAACAGTAGCAAAATTACAGTTATGAAGTAGCAATGAAAATAATTTTATGGCTGTGGGTGGGGGCTTACCACAACATGAGGAACATTAGGAAGGTTGAGAACGACTGTTGTAAGGACTGAAGTATGCTCAGGAAGTAATCCAGGAATATGAAGGGTCCACAGGAAGACAAGGGGAGCAAAGAGCCGGTACTAGGCCCTGCGAGTGGAAACATTCCTTCAGCAAGTGACACCTCGCAAGTGACAGAAGGAGGCTAGTCACTGACAAATCCAATGATAGTCATTCAGAAGTGATGTGTGGCAGACACACAGGGACCGAGGAAGTTAGTTTTAATAATGGTCAAGGCCGTCTTTTAATCAGAGTTGCTGGTGTGGAGGCAAGAGCATGAACTTCTTTTGGTCAAGTTCTCCCAAGTCCCAGTCCCCTTGCTTTTGAAACGAGGTCATAATATTTAATTTGTTTTGAGGACTAGAGATAATGAACGTAAAACGGCCCCCCAGTGAGCACTCTGCAAACTGTGTGTCTTATTAACTTCTCTCACAGACCTTTGAGCTCTCGCAAGCCATGCCTTAGGGATGGGAAAGAATCATCTGTGGTGACTTGGGTACGAACAGCTGGGATACTGAGGAGCCTCCCTCTAGACCCCTCTCATTTGTGCGACACACATCTTAGCACCTTTTCCTTCCACAGGCTATGACTACTCCGTAGAAACAACTTTGGTTCTTAATTTATAATTCACAAGTTGCCAGGCTGTTAAGTCTAGCATCTTTGGTTTATTTGCTCTGTCAAGCCTGGAATCTTGCAACAGTGCCCCTCGGGATGGCCAAAGGAGGGGATGCATTCAGAGGCAGGCAGTGAGTTGGAGTGAGAAAAAGAGATGGTTGGAGGCTGGATTCTGTAGTACTGGGTAGACAAGACCCCAAGGAAATCATGCATGCTGATCAGACCAACTTTTCCAGTATGAAGTGGTCTTATATGCTTCCTCCAATGACATTAAACATGCATGTATGGGCATGTATGTGTCAAAACCAGGGGAAATAATATCTGGAAAGCCAATCTCGCCTAATCAAGGCTTCTGTATTCCTTCCATCTTCCCATTTTGACCCAATGTCCAGGGTAGGCACCTTAAACCCCACCTGGCCAAAATCATTCCATCTTGCTTGAGCTTTCAATGGTTCCTAGTGGCTGAGAGGAAAAAAGTATATATCTAAATGTATCAACGAGAATCCATGATGTGGTCTCCACCTAACTATTTGGTCCAGCTTTTGTGCTGCTACTTGGCTGCCTATAGGTGGCCTTGGGGTTCTTGTGCATTCCCACGATGCTCCTTTGCTACGGCTCAGATTTCCAGATCTGCTTGGAATGGCTGCCCTCTCCATTCCCCGTCCTTTCCCAGGTGAATTCTTAGCTGTCCTTACACATTCTTCTCAGGCTTCCGTCCTCTGGGGAGTCTTCCCTGAAGGCCATTCACCCTGAGTCTGAGGCTCTGGAGTGGTACTGCCTAGATTAAAATTCCGGCTCATCTCATCACTAACTTAAGGATGTTTCTTGATCCCTGGTTGAGAACACCATGGTACCTTTGCCAATGGGAAGGGGTATCATGAAGAGTAATGGTCATAAAGCATTTAGAACAAGCAGTGCCTGCCCCTTGGAGGCCTTCAGGAAATGTCAGTTCTCACTGTGAAGAAGTGGCACCCAAGCAAATTTATTCACCACTAGGGCCATTGAGTTATCTAAAGACAACAACTAAGCCAAGAACATCTATCTTTGTATATGTGGTATGTACCCTGTCCATAGCACGATATGTTTGCTGAGGTGATCACATTTTAATGAACATCATTGGTGCTCAGACCAGTGCACCTTGCTTGGATACCCAGGGCCAGAGTCTTCATGTATCAGGGCCCTGTTAGGAGCAGGTTCTGCTGGAAAACAAGTCCGTTGCTAGGAAAGGCAGGCCCATGGCAAGATGGCAAGGCAGGCCCATTGTCAGACTGGGTACAGATGGGCAGCAGGTAGAGAGATCCTGAGCTGTTGTCGCCTTCCCTTGGGAAATGGCCAAGGGGGAAAGTACTATGGCATCTGGGGACTCCAGGAGCTGCTCTGGTTTACAGAACACATAGGATGGTACATCCTGACTTTCAGAAAGGAGCTAGGGAACTGCCTTCTTGTGCTAGGGCCTGTGATGAGTCATCAGGGTCTTAGATGGGACTGACCTTGCTTTTGTTCAGGCCTCAGGGGCCCAGGACCAGCGGAAGCTTCTTATACCTAGGTGAGGCCAGAAGCTAATCCTGCCTGTGGGAGAGAAGCTTCCTGGGGCCATAGCTGCCCTTCCCTCTGCCTCCCAGGAAATGCTTTTCTAAGAACACAGCTCTGATTTCCTGAATCACTCGAATATTTTTGTTTCACATAAGCGATAAAAAATATGAATCCTTTCATGTTCCTTTTGACTTCCAGATATTGCTTGGAGGGGAATTGGCTTCACTTTAACAATGTCAGACCTAGTGACTGTCATATCTGTTTTCCAATTCTACCTCATGTCTATCTTCTCCTTACTTCCTCATTTGTGTTTGGAGACCTAATTTTTTGTTTACTTTTTATGTTCTTGAGATTGTATTCTTACATGCTGCTTTAGTTGCCTTTAGGCAAACGAACAACAAAGCAACCAACCAATCTACAGACAAATGAAGTTTCATTCCTCCCTCTGGGCAGACATGGAATAGCTTCAACTGTGTACTCAGAAGCACCCAATCTAGAAGTTTCAGGAGCTGGTGGCAGAAATCCATCCTGGAAGTCATGATCACTCACTGGTCCCTGTTAAAGTGTGGTCACGCTTTAACTGTGAAGCTTTTCTGGGAATTACTATTTTCTGACATGCTCAAGTATTGGGAGCCTTCAACACACAAATAGGTGTCTGGCCAGAGGCGGCACTGGTGCCTTTCTTACCTTTATTCCTTGCCCGAGGCTTTCCAGGGAATTAATATCCAGCCCTTCTTTGCAGGCCTGCAAACAAGAAATCACCTTCTGGCTTTCCATTTTGCCAGGACGGATGGTGAGACTGGCGAGGCTGCCATGGAAAAATTGTGCAAACCGAGGTTTGGCTACTTCACCTCCTGTAAAAGCAAGAAATATCATCGTCTGCCTTGAGGAGACTAGATAGGGAGGATCAACACACGTACCATCTACCCACAAGGCCAAGTCCACTCACCCTGCCTGTGTTCTTTAAGCAGAAGGGATAAAAACAAGCCACTGTGTGTGTTTGTGTGCATAGAGGCTGAGCATTGTGGGAGCTTGGTTGTGCTACCATGCCCACGTATGGTTCAAAATGCGCACATTGCAGCTTCATCAGGAGCTACGCCCACCTCCTCCCTGGTCTCCAAGCCAGGCTCCCCGTGAGATCTACTTATAGACCACCTCACATAGCCTTTCCTAGTATTGTTACCAATTATAGCTCCCCCTCCCCCATCTTTGGAAGAACTGCATGGGGGGATCTAGCCTGGTTCTTGCTTGACTTTTTGTTTAGAAAGGAAATGGGACTTGGAGGGAAGATGGACCAGGATTCAGTCCCCATCTTGATAGTTCCCAGGAAAGGTTTTGAAAACTCTGAGTCCCCATGGCTTATGGGATGTTTTTGTGCCTTCTAGTTCTGGTAGGCTGTCTCAGCAAGCAGCGCCTGCTGCTTCTATGCTTTATGTTGCTTGGGGCTTGATAACAGACTATGCCCACCTGTCAGTGGCTTTCCCAGCTCGCTAAAGGGCAGTTTTTCAGCAAGTGGCACTGTAGCATCCTCACTGCCTTTTGGCCAGCCAGGGTGTGCCAACGAAGCCTTGGGGGCCAACGATGCTCCTAGGGCACACAGCTCTTATGTTCCTTAATGTTTGGTGTGTCTTCATGATTCCTTGATATCCCACTTCCTTTTGCTTTCCTGTTAAAATTACTGAGGTACTCCCTATTGAATGACTCCTGCATGGGTCTTTCTACTGCCTAGATCTGAGCCTGACTGGATTTGCTCTCATACCTGTTCCATTGCTCGCCCTCACCCTGTCCTCCCTATTGTCCAATTAGGCAAATTTCAGTTTTTTCAAGGTCTCTTAGATTCTCCATCACTGCTGTCTCCTCAAACTTTATTGGGTCCCTGCTTCCTATTCCCTGTCCCCGTCTTGAATCCCACTGTGCTCTAGGCTTAGGGCTTGGATTGCTGGTAGTTGGTTTTATCCCAGCATCTTCCACCTGGCAGGGCTGGGAACTGTTTACATGTGTGTGCTGTCCTCAGTAGCTTAAACTGTTACCATCCACCTTGGCTACAAATTTTAATCATCTGCAAATCTTTAAAAAGATAAACCAGTGCCTGGTCCTTGGTCTGACCCCCTGGAGATTTTGATTTAATTGGTATGGGGAGTTTTACAAGCTTCTTGGGTAAAGCAGATGTGAGGCCAAGGTTAAGAAGCACTGAGCTGTGAGCGTCTCCATGTTGGTTCTTTTGCATACTCCTTATGCGATCTCTCTCCTTGATGCTACCCGCAGGCTTGCTCTTTGCAAGCTGCTATAATTTATTAGTTTAAGCCTCTCTTTCCTAGATAGCAAGGACCACTCATGCATTATTCATTTTAATGAAGACAATACTGAGCAAGTAAGTATTAGGGGGCTGAGGGTGGACCAGACACTGTGCATAAGTTGACTCATTTATTCTTCTCAAGAACACTTGGCCTCTTGCGTTCTCTTGGGATGTTATACTCTGCCTGGCACACAGCAGACACTTCATAATTGCTGTTGAATTGCAGGAGATGATGCACTGAATGCCATCAGAGCCATCATGGGCAGTGTGGCTCTCTCACTCTTTCCTTCTTGCTAAGGCAGCCCTGAGGCCTTGGGCATGGATAGACAATGGGGAGAGAGTCTAGGCAAATTTATTATACCATCATTGCTGCAGTGATGGACTGAGGGCTGGGTCTGGGGCCAAGTACCAAAATGAAGCCAATCAGTACCTGGCATTCAATAAGCTATAATTACGGTCCAAGAATATGCATGGGACCAAATTTAGGTTACCATCGTGAGAGATGATGACTGGTAGCTTACAGACAAAAGCTTCTATTTTTCTCTCTCAGAAGGTTTTCAATGAACTCTTGTTTTTCTCTAGAGAACCCACAGCTGTACAAGCCATCTTGCCACTAAACTAAGAATAATAAGGGCAATGCAGAATGTAGGACAGAACTAGAAGAGTAATATGGGACCAAGCAGGACCCAGATGGGTATCCCCACTGCTGTGCTTTGGGATATCCTCTGCTACAGGAACCATCTGTCTTTCTGTGTTAAACCACTTTGTCTCATAGGTTGTTTCCTTGCCATATAAAATTCTTTGAAAGCATTGAATATAAAAGCAAGTCTTTTTTTTTTTTTTTAATACTTGGTTTTCAGAAAATTCCAAAATAAATGTGGATGATCTGAAACACCCATGGCTATCGGAGGACAATTTGGGGTTTTCTGGTCTCACACTTCGCTGTTGATAAAGTGCTCCTCCATAACACTTGCATGTTCATGCCCTAGTATTATGGCTTAGATACCAAGTGTCCCCACTAAGAGGCCCCCATATTGAAGCCTGGGTCTCTCATGCTTAGAGGGTGGGCTTTTAGAAAGTGATTGGGTCATGAGGGCTCTAACCAAATCATTGACTTAACCCACTGAGGAATTCAAAATATGAATAAACTGTTGGGAGGTGACTGTGGAGGGTGAGGCCTTGTAGAAAGATTTGGGTCACTTTTATTATTATTATTATTTGAGACTAGGTTTTTCTGTGTAGCCTTGGGTGTCCTGGACTCACTTTCTAAATCAGGCTGGCTTCAAACTCACAGAGATCTGCCTGCCTCTGCTTCCCAAAATGCTGAGATTATAGGTGTGCACCACCAGGCCTGGCTGTGAGTCACTCTTATCTGTTCCCTGGATGTCTTAGGAACAACTCAGCTTCTCTACACCTTTATGTCAAGGTACTTTACCTCACCATAGTCCAGAAACAATGGGGCAGGCTGACCAGGTATTGGAGGCTCTGAAGCCCATGGGGCAAGGTAAATCTGTCCCCATGTATGGATTTTTATTTTTGAGTATTTGTCATAGCAATAAGTTGTCTGACTTACAATCCGGTGAATGGATAGCTGGAAATCTTTTTTGATCTACAGAAAAGAGGACGAAGGCCTAAGCATGAATGATGGAGTGTTATCCACCTGTTTTCTGCCTTGTCTCTACCTTTGAGCAGCAGAATCAGTGAGTGTCACAGACTAGGTGTGACCTGTGTACCCAACATCATGTGCAGTCTCAACACAATCCTCTCCTTGAGTCTTCATGAACCCCCTGGAAGATAGGCACCCATTCCATAGACACCTGTGGTGATGTGATTTTATTTTTTTAAATGGTGCCTATAGGCTCACAGGGAGTTGCACTATGAGGAGATGTGGTCTTGCTGGAGTAGGTGTGGCCTTGTTGGAGGAAGTGTGTCACTGCGGACAGGCTTTGAGGTCTCAGAAGCTCAAGTCAGGCCAGTGGCTCAAAGTTCTCTTCCTGCTGCCTGTCCATCCTGCTTGCTCGGTTGCCTCCCCAGCACCATGTCTGCCCATGTGCCACCACAGGTCTTGCCATGATGATAAAGGACTAAACCTTTGACCTGTAAGCCAGCCCTAATTAAATATTTTCCTTTATAAGAGTTGTGGTGGTCATGGTGTTTCTTCATAGCAATAAAACCCTAACTAAGACAGCACCCATATTAATAAAACAGGCTTGAAGTTGTAAGTGCATGTCCCTACAATCTGAGCATACCATCTATCATCTAGACACCCCTGTCATCTCTCACACAGGCTTCATCTCATAGGCCAGTGGTTTTGACAGCCTTGAATACTGACGTATCATATGCTGTACTTTCAACTTAAGAATCCAAGAGCTGTAATGTACCCTGTTTATGAGTCAAAAGTCTCTAGGAAATAGATTTGATTAGCATTTTGCAATGGGAGACTTGCATAAGATTTGAAGTACATTTTACCCAGTACTGTATGTGGTATAAGATATTAAAAATAATAGATACACTGATTTTTTTCTCTTTTTAATATTGAGGATGTCTACATGGGCCACACAACTCCTCTGTCAAATTTTAGAATAAACATGGTTATGAATCATTTTAAGAGAGTGAAAATCTCAAAACTGTTTCCAGACGAGATTTTGGATTTCTTAGACTATAACAGCATTTCAAAAACATTTCCTGTGTGTCCAGCCTTGTTAGGTTCATATCATTGTCGGCTGTGGGCTAGGGTCTTCAGGAGCTTACACTGAGTGGAAAGACTGAGGTTAAAGACTGAGAATTAGATGTTCTAAGCTAACCCGAGGCATTCTGAGGCAGCACACAATCAATTTCTAAACAACACGTCTACTGGGTCAGAGAATGATAGCTGTCATTGGGTCCTTGAAATGCATTGGGTTCTTCCATATGTTATTTCATTAATCTGTAAGGGAATCTTGGAGATCTTAAGCTCTGTACTTTATGTTTTTATTGGGCATTTCTTCCATCTCACATCCATTTATGCGCACCTCTAGCTTTGCCACGCGGATGGTCACAGAAGAGGCCTAAGCTGAGAACCTACTCAAGTATGGGTTTCAGAAGCATCAGTGCCTCAAAGGGCAGGGAAGGCCTGACAGTGGGTCCACTTTGGGGGAGTACAGAGGAGGAGAATCTGATTTCTTCCAGATAAGGTAGGTTGAGGAAATGGAGAGGATAAGTTACAGGATGACATCACACACAGTTGCTTCCAGGGCTGAGCCCCAGCAGGATATTGGTAGACTGCCCACAGATGGATAGGCAGAGAGAACATGAGAAACACCACAAGTACTGATGTAGCCCCGTGGAAGGCGAGGAAATGCCAAGACAGCTGTCAGTCCTAAAGGACCATGAGTGGCTGAGGTGCAAATGAGGTAGATAAGCACCATTGCAATGAATAACCACATGGAAAGGTGACCGGGCCCACATTACCCTATAACTATATCCTCACCTCCCGAATCAACCAGCCATTACCCAAGGAAATGAAAAAAATGCCAGATTTGAGGAGGTTAAAGCTCTCTCACTCACATGGAATGAAGC